ATGTAATCTACTATTCTATTCGATGTTGAATATCAACTAGAATGAATATATTCGGTCTCTCATTCATCCTATTCTACCTAAAACTGTCAGCTTGTCCTGGATTACAGCTGTGTTTGTCTTCTAAATTGTGGAATATTATTCTATTTGATCATCGTGTTTGCTCCGTAATATATATTTGATATTACCAATGTATAATTTCGCTATTAAATTTTACCGTTTGTATTTATCCCTCCCTACATACATATATATCAATTTAAGAATAACAGAATGACTTAGAGAAYAGAATAGAGAAAATACCGCAAAATACCTCGAATACGTTTCATAAAATGACAGTGAAAAATTCCTGTTGTTTAAACAGGTCAACTTGCATTTAAATTTTTGAGACTGTATGTTTGGTAAATATTAGACCACCYCTACCAGCTGACTAACTGGAAAATGGCATAAAATAAGTGCTGGTGTGCCTTGAAATTCATCCTTTTTTTCACACATATCATTACAAGATGAAGTGGATACTCGCTTGCGCATTTTTTGCTGTTGCTTTTGCAATCAACCCAGAAGGTAAAACGCTGGACTCTGAATTCTCACTACCTTTTATTCATAAGCTCATCGAATCTTTGTTTGTTCATTTAATTCCCTCAGAAGCCGAAACAGATCCCGATGTCTTYGAGGGTGACATGATTCTGACACCAGAGCAGAAAATGGCTGCCGTCAACGGTTGGGACGTCGATGCTCCTCTTGGACGAGGAGGGATCAAGAATAAAAGATGGCCTGGTGGAGTGTTTGTCTACCAAATTGATGGAGCTCTAGGTAAGCTAAGCATAGATGCTCTGAAAATATCATACATATAAAATCATATGGGATATTGACTGGGAGGCTGAGTGGGAGGGAAGTACGGGAAAATATTTCGCTCGAGGTTATGCCGTACGGAATGAGCGCAGCGAGGTCAATAAGAGGTCAATAAGCATTTTATCATATGACAGCGTTTTTTTAATGCGCGGAACTTCAAGCCGGGAAGATAAAGCTTTGTACGGCCCTGTCGCGAAAAGGCGCGCGTAGGGCCGAAATACGGGCCATATGATAATTCTAATTATTTTCCTTCCCGTGWTCCCTGTCGGACTTAGTTTTATTATCATGTTGCTTTTTGAACACAAAGGATTTTGTTTAATTGAATTATATGCTTTCAGCTCGCAGTAGCAAAGCAATGAATGCAATCAACGGAGCMTTYAGAGAATGGTCCTCCAAGACTTGCATCACATTCAAGAAACGAACCAACGAAAGAGATTATGCTTACTTCCGCATAGGATCAGGGTAATCTTTGCTACCTTTTCTGAAAAGTAGAGYGATCGCACTTAGTCCGTGCAACTGTACAATATCTACGTAGTATTAATTTGTACTAAAAGTGAACCTGAATATACTCTGCGAACAGAGGTTCTTTTCTCACCCGCCGAGAAGCGAGAGAAAAATTTTTCTCTCRCTTCTCGGCGGGTRAGAAAAGAACCTYTGTTCGCAGAATAACCTGAATAAGACTTCATTTGTATCAATTCAATWTAAKTTGCGTACCGCATGCACGATGTACTAAGTACAACTCAATAGAACTATTTAGTTTGTACAATTGCACAGATTAAGTGCGATCACTCTATATAAGGCTTGGATGCAATGTTTTGGCTGGTGTGACATGTAGTATAACTGCAGTGCACAATTAAATCATTGGATTATATTGAAATAACATTTTTTCTAATTTGATAGTTGTTCCTCGTGGGTTGGTAGGAGCGGAGGTCGCCAAACTATCAACTTGGCCAGCGGTTGCTGGTATGTTGGTATTGTGGCCCACGAGATCGGTAAGGACTGGGTACTAAATTTAGATAATCTTGAGAAGTTATCCTTCAGCAGCATGTTAGTAAGAGAGTAATAATATAGTAAATGCGGCAAAATACTGCTGTTAGATGGTAGATACACTTTATATGAAGTCGAGCTCTCGCTGTTCTACAGCATCAGATTTAATACAATTATAAGAAATGGTTGGAAACTGGTACAAATGCCTTATTTCTAATTTTTCCCCATGACGTTTTTACCATTTTTTCTACAATTTGTAATGAGTGAAGAAGTCTCTTGTATCTTAGATTAAGCTGTAACTGTTGTATTTCTTACGCAGGTCACGCTCTCGGTTTCTACCACGAACAGTCACGCCCTGACCGTGACAATTACGTCACTATCATGTGGAACAACATTATTGAGAGTAAGGTTTTCTTTGATTTACATACCATCGCCATTTTAAGCTATCGACACTAACTTCTCTTTTTTTTCTTTAAGTCTTCTTCTAGTTTAATAATATTTTCTTCTTTTCTTCTCCTTTCTTCGCTTCTTCTTAATTGTTTTTCTTATTCATCATCATCATAATCATCTCAACCAATCACTGTCAATTCTTTTAATTTTATTCAAGAAAGCAAATTCAACTTCAACAAGTACAATCGTGGTACCATCGACTCTCTTGGTACTCCCTACGACTATGGATCCGTCATGCACTACGGCTCAAGGGCTTTCAGCAAAAATGGCAGACCAACCATCGTTGCCAAGCAATCTGGAGTAAGTCTAATCACCTTGATCTGGTTTCACACTAAAGTCCACAYTATAGATCTCGAGCAGTTTCCGCTCGTAGCCGTTATAAAGATCGTTAGAGACCTGGGAACGAGCCTCATAACGGCTGCGAGAGGCCTAGGAGACAAGTCCTCAAGTTCATGGCTGCAATAGTCAACTTTAGATATTTTKTTTCGATGACTATGTACAAAAGAACGCACACGAGGCTCCGGGAAAACAATGGATAATCTTGATTTATTCATTGTTTTCCCCGGAGCCTCGTCTGCAATTCTTCTGTGCATGGTCACTGAACCAAGAAATCTAAAGTCGGCTATTAGTTTTCCACAAAACTTTCTCTGGTGACCACATCTTTCGACAATTATTTACCTCAGTCTATTGTTATAAAGCGTGTATTATATTCATCGTATAAAATAAATGATTGCTTGTTTTTTCATATAGGTAACACTTGGACAAAGAAGAGGATTGAGCGCCATTGACGCCAAGCAAATGAACTTGATGTACAAGAGCGAATGCAGTGGAGGTGGCGGAGGTGGAGGATGTAAGTCCAAGTACAGGCTTTGCTTAACTATATTTTTCATGTGTAAACGCGGCAAGATTGTCTGGTTTTCAAAAACCGCRGAAACATAGCAAAACAGCGAAATATCATACATGGGAAATAACTAATCTTCTGTTGTTTGTCACCAGTTTTTACAGATAAGTTCTTAAAGCTAATAACATTATAATATTGATTTATGTGTTCACACTGTTTTGCTGTATGTTTTCAGCCTCTTGTGTTAACAATCACTCGCGCTGTGATGAATGGGCCCAACGTGGAGAGTGCAAGAAGAACCCCCGTTGGATGTTGGTAAACTGCAAGAAGAGCTGCAAAGTTTGCTCATAGAGATTAAATTGAAATAAAGCTACTTGAAAATGCATTGAAAATGTTGTCAATGGTTTGATTTAAGACATTAGTCTGTATGTAAGTGTAGCATGATCATGGGGTTGTGAGAGGTCTTGGAAAGACTGTTAGAGCGGATTTCGTATGAGTGGGACACCATTACCGCACGGTTACCGGACCTGGCCTGCACATGCAATTTTAGTGAACCAATGGGGCACTAGAATTTGGTTACAGTACGATTACGGTTACAGTACAGTACCGTCCGTTTCCCACTCATACGAAATCCCGCGCTCTATAGTTACCTGATGTTTCGATAAAATGCGTGCCGGAAGAAGTCATTTTTAGAGTCTTCTTCTAGGTAACTAACCCGATAGGGGGAATCCTTTATAAAACCTGGTAGGTATACTCGACGGACCTTTTAGGATCGAAAATAAAACCCTCGTGTACGTACCTTTTAGGGTCTTGAGCTGACTCCGTATCTTTAAGGGCAAATTTTGGAACAATGGGAAAAAATTTTATTAACGTCAACAATCTATCGACTTTCTATAGTTTGTTTTAACAAACTATAGAAACTATAGAAAGTTTAAAAACTTGAGCTTTTCTCTTGTTAAAGATGTCAAGAATGTTTGTACCTCAGGGATTTTTATAGTTATTGTGCTTGAGTTACAGTGTCATTCATGCATTACCGCAAGAAGCCCATTTAAGCGATCGTTGATCTCCGCAAGTTCAACTCAATCAGAGTCACTGCTCATAGACTTACAACTGCCAGATTCACTGGTCATAAAGAGGCTCAACAACCAGATTCACTGAATTGTCATTTTTGTACTATACACCATTTGGTAGTTTCACCCAATAGACTATCACAATTTTATAGATTCACTGGTCATAAAGAGTCTCAACGACCAGATTCACTGAATTGTCATTTTTGCACTATACACTATTTGGTTATAGTTTAACCCAATAGACTATCACAATTTTATCATTATATTTCAATAATTACCTTATACATAATATAGTTATATGCAAAAAACTTTTCAGCCTTACAGAATCTTTGATACGGGTCAAAGAAACGTTTTGTGGAAGCAGTCCAATTTGTTTTCCTTAATACAGTTTTTTCAGTAGATTTTTCAGCAGGAGCCGATGGGTTCCTGGGAGAAATATATCTGTTGTTATGTCCCAGCCAGCTGTAAGTCACAACTGGTTGTCAGCGAGAAATTCAGGAAAAAAAGAACTCTCCAGGCAAGGAATACCACAGGCTTACCAAACTATCGAGAAGAGTCGGCTCCAGGCCTCCTATGGCGATTATCGGCCGAAAGCCGTTGAAAGCCGTTGAAATCTCTTCAAAT